AACTATCATTTTGGAGATTTTTGGAAAAGAAACAATATAAAATAAACAAATATTCACATAAAAGACAAATAAAATACTAAGAAATTTGTTTAATTAATTTTTATTGTTACACAATATAAATATATACAAATATAATCTATAAATATTTGTTTTTTCGTCATGGAGTTCACGTAAAAAAAAAATTGTGCTCATGTAAATAATATTTTTGCATGTCATATTGCTGCATTTTTGTCTGTAGTCTGCAGTATGAATCCATTATTCATTTCAACAGTCACAGTCTGATTTTTCCTCATGGTTTGACTCAGTATTTGATCAAGATATAGTTTCCTGGTTGTTTAGGTACACTGTATTGCCTTTGTTATAAGAAAGTGATACAGCTTGTAGACTCTAGACATGGCAAATATTGAGGTTTGCTGTGTATGTGTGTGTGTTATCATCCAGGTCTGTTTATCTGGCCGTTGCTTCATTTCCTCCATCCTGTAGAGCTCACTGGCAGCTCAGATCATCTGTGGCCCAGAACCCTGACTGCAATTTCCTAAGGTGATGAAAACACGCATGTGAATGGTGTGTGTTGGCAGGTCGCAGGGGCTGCAGAAGCATAACATGTTTACCAAGCATGCAGGACAAGCAGTGCTCCAACTGCCCCTGGGTTCATATGGCTCTCGTAAATCCGCTTACATCAAAAGTGTGACATCTGGATGAGAGGACACCCTCTGTGCTGTGTGAATCATGTACCAGAGTGAGAGTGTTCGGTTCTGCTACAGGATCCCTCAATGCAGAGGTTAGATTCGGACACACCTGCCTGTAGTGTTCGGGAAAACCCATTCAGATGAGGAGGGCTGGAACTAAACTGCTCCTACTGTAGTTCACACAGTTGAAGATGCAGACTCTTTAAGCATGAGGAATTATGACAACGAATATGGGCAACGGGAGACATTGTCATGGTTTAGAGCCAGGGCTATCATAGTTGACTAATACTAAAACCAAAACGATAACAACAAAAAAAACAAAAAAAATAATTTTTGCTGGTTAAAATAAATTGAATGTTAACGTCTCTTTTACATATGGTAACCCTCAGTCCCTGAGGAGGGAATGGAGATGTCTCATGGGAGGAGTTTCAAACGAATTGAGATCACGCTAGGGAGAACAATTGCCTTTGAGTGAATTAAAACGAACCAATGAATATTGGCATGCAGGACTTGCATTCCGCACCCCATCTAGCAGTGCGGGTATAAAGCTGAAGCTAGTGCACACACATGCTTTACGCTGAGGAGCCAGACGGTGTCCAGTCCTCCTCGTGGGTACAGCAAGCATGGCAACGGGACGAGGCATCTCCGTTCCCTCCTCAGTGAACGAGGGTTACCATACTTAACCAAGACCAATTCCCTTTCGTTCAAGAACTCCTACGTTTCGTCGGAGGAGTTTCCAATGTATTGGGATCCCTAACAACACGCCATGGTGCTGGCCCCTTCCAGCGCCGAGCTTAGCTTCCCGCCAAAGCAGTTTCTTAGTTTTCTTTATGGCAGGAGCTAGCTAGGAAGAATCACACGGCTGTTCTGCAAGACCCGCTCAGTGGATTTGGATAACACTGGGGAAGCATGCCCAGCCTGTAGGAGGAAATGCTGTGGAGCCCCTGCCCGCCCGAAGGGAGGCAATGGAATACACGTATGTACAAACCCGTAGGGTTGTGAAACATACAGCAGTCCTTGAGGTAATCCCAACCTGAGGGGTGGGAGAGTACTAGGCAAGGACGACAGAACGGGTCTGTCATGGGGAAGACACGGAGCTAGCCCGGAGGGTAGCTAGAAGGTGGAAGAAATGGATCATCGCAGGGACCACTATTAAGGCCACCCAGTCTAAACAGAACTCTTACGAGAGGTAATAGACCTGGTTCCGGAGGAGTGATGGAGGAACTTACGAGGTTAGTCGCTTGTTAGGGAACCAACGGACCAAAAAGCACACATATCCAGCCTATAGGGCGGGAATGGTGTAGCAAGCCGACATGACCTAATTCCTCACACTACTGGTGTGCACGGCAGGAAACAGGTTTAACACGTAAGCTATAAAACCTAGCGAACTTGCTAGGTGTCGCTCAGCCCGCAGCTCTACAGATGTCTGCCAGCGAGGCGCCTTGCACCCGCGCCTAGGAGGAGGCGACACTCCTAGTGGAGTGTGCTGTCAACCTAGGTAGTCAAGGCACGTCCTGGGACACATAAGTCCTGACGATAGCATCCACTAGCCAGTGGGCTAACTTCTGCTTGGAGATGGCCTTCCCCTTCTGTTGGTCTCCACAACAGACGAAGAGCTGCTCTGAGGTCCTAAAGCTTTGCGTTCTTTCCACATAACAACATAGAGCACGTACGGAACAGAGAAAAGCTAGGGCTGGGTCTGCCTCCTCTGGGGGCAGCGCTTGCAGGTTCACTATCTACAAACAGAGTGGTAGGAAGCTTGGGCACATATCCGAACCGAGGTCTCAGGACAACGTGAGAAAGACCCGGCCCGAACTCCAGGCACGATTTGTTGACCGAAAATGGCATGTTCTCTCATGGGAACAATAGCTACATCCACAACTTTCGTGAAGACGCAGGGCGACAGGGCCAAGCCGAAGAGTAGGACATTGTACTGATATGCCCGACTCTCGAACGCAAACCGAAGGAACGGTCTGTGTCGATGAAGAATCAAGACTTGAAAGTATGTGTCCTTCAGGTCGATTGCTGCAAACCAATCCTGGGGACGGATGCACTCGAAGATGCGCTTCTGCGTGAGCATTTTGAACGGGAGCTTGTGTAAAGCCCGATTCAAAACTCGCAGATCCAGGATCGGCCATAACCCACCGCTTTTCTTGGGTACAGTGAAGAAAGGGCTGTAGAACCCAAACCTCATCTTGGATCAATCGCGTTTTTCGCCAGCAGGGCGACGATCTCTTTTCTCAAGTCAGGGGGATCGACACTGTACCTGAGTGAAGAGGATGTCCCTGTACCTGGCAGGCCGGTGGGCAAACTGAATTGCATAGCCGAGCCGGATGGTATGAATGAGCCAGCGGGACGGCCTCGGAAGTGCTAGCCAGGCTTCGAGAGACTGTACCAATGGTCAGGGGCACCGAGGTGGAAGGCAGGGACTGGACTCCGAAGGCATTGCTGCGGCATGTTTTACTTTGCTAGCAAAGCTGAAGTAAGATCAAGGATAGTAAAATTAAGTATAAATCACGTGTTTCACTTAGATATCTGCATATCATCCCTTAAATGAACACAATATATCTGCTGAAAATCAGCATATTAACAAACACTTCAATGGGCTATATGCACGCATAAGTTCCGCATTTGACGCAAGGATGCTCGTCTATTTCCGGTTGTGTAGATTAAAGCGGAGGAAAACCGGAGAAAACGGGATTATGGCAGAGTCTTCGATATTTACTGTCCTCCCGTCTTTGAAACGAAACGTACATACGTTTAGATGTAATTTTATATACAGTTATGTTTATTTGATATAATTTTAAAAAGAAGCATAAACACAACGAGGGGTGTCTGTTTTATCTGTTTTTGTGACTAACGTTTCATTAGTATAACCATGGAGTATAAAATTCAATATAAATTCTTGCTATTGCATTGGACTCTATGATCGGCGGAAGTTATCGAGCATCCCTAATGCTTCACCGGAAATACCGCCGTGCATAGAGCCCATTATACACACAAAGAAATGTCCTAGCAATAGTATAAAAAGTAAACTGTCTTCACACATGTGTATGTTCAAATAAAACTTATGCCACACTTTTCATATATTATAAAAACAATATATGAAAGCCCGGTAAATAGCCCCTGGTATTTTTGCTCTGAATTTAAAATATATTTTTTTACATTTTTATAATGACAGAACTTTGATCATTAAGTACAATATAGTTTTTGGAGATGTTTGGGTTTGGTCAAATATAACAACATCTGCACCAAATTGGCTCAGTTTGCCTGAGGGGTTTTTGTCCTCCTTGATTTTGAGCTCCATATCATACTAGATGACCCATAAAAACACAATATCAGCTTTACAGAGAAAATGATTGGATAAATCTGGCATTTCAGCAGTATGACATTTTGATTAAACATTGCATGCACAAAAAAAATAAAATTATACGAATGATACGTTCACAATAAGATAACCTGCATTTATAAAATAGATTAGGTGAATTTATTTTATGCCAACTGTCCTCCCTCACAGTCCTCACCAAACAAGATTACATTCTCGTGTCCTGAGTCTGACTGTTGGTCCTTTTTGCCAAATGTTGTGGGGTGATATAGATGATCACCTGGATGTTTGAATCCAGTGGAAATAGTAGACATTCAGGATCAACACGATTTGGGACGCATTATTATTTATGATGGATAGTAGCTTATGCGAATTAGGACACAGAAGGATTCAGCACACCTGTTTAGCTCAAAAAATGCATTTGATTTCTATAAACCTATAGAAATATATATTTTTTTATCGAAACACCCTTCCACCTGTATGATTAAATTATGAAGTGACAGTCTTCAATGCACGCGTTCCTAAGCGGTTCGCTTGGTTTCTAAATAAGGTGTGTCGTGCGCTGAATTTGTTTGAGTCAGTGCTCTATACGTGCTCGCTGTTGTTAAGAAACAAGTTGTGTGTGATTCGCCTACTTGGAGAGCAGGCATCCTCGTCTCACCCTGGGTACTCTACTCCTCCTCATCCATAATTGATCACACAATAACCTCTAGAAAATCGAGTTAAGCCATACACCTCTCCCGCGAGCGTGCCAAACACTGATAGGTGGAGAGTTGCCAAAATCTCTTTTCCCTGAATCCCTTCTAGTTTGAGGAACAGTGTTATTAATGCACAAAGTCGATCAATGCTGCGTTCAAAAAGCGCAAGTTAATCAATGCGCATGAATGTGTTTTGCTGTAAAGTTCTTATTAGCTTCACTCGAATGCTTTTTCGAATCAGTACCGTGTCAATAACATGCGTAATGGTTTTTTTCTGGCTCTTTCAAGGTACGAGTTTGACTATGACACTCATTCCACGGGCTCAGACGTTTCAAAGCTTCCTTTCCGAGCAGACTGAGCAGGAGCAGAACCAGGATCAAGCAACAGCGACCTCTAGTGGCCACGATAGGAACTGCAGCGCATCGCCGCTCCGTTGACATGCACTGTCATGGCTTGATGAAAGCCACGACTCCCGGACATTCCAAAGCTTAGGAAACTCATAGACACATGAATAGTATGAACTCTCTTTCTCTCTCTCCCTCTCTATATATGTATGACTTAATAATTATTTGTAGAACAGGGTGTATACTAAGAACTCTAGGAGCCTCTTTTTGTACGTTGAAGAAAAAAAAAAAAACCCAACAACAAATGCCAAAAAGTTGTACCATAAACTTTATTTTTCCTTGTGTAGTTTAAGACAAATTGACTTTTTCGCAGTTATTTTTCAGATATACTGTAAATATTAAAGCGCTGTAGCGCTTACATCCCTACATCCATTTTTGTCTGTCTTTAATGGGATACCCTTAGCTTCTATCAAACAAGGAATATGTTTGTGTTTAGCACCCTGCACTTTTAAATTATAGCTTGTTTTGCACTTTTGTTGTTTTCTTTGGGTTTTATTACGCCCTGATATCTGTAAGTGCTGTGTGGTGCTTTGGCGATAATGAAAAAGCTTATTTTTGAAGGGATAGTTCACCCAGAAATGGATATTCTGTCAATATTTATTCACTTTCCAAACTCGCATATTTTTGTTTCTTTTGTGGAACACAAAAGAAGATATTCCAAAGGATGTGCTGGCTGCTCTTTTCCATGAAATCTGGAAAGACTTGTTTAGACTGTCAGTCCAAATCTGAACATATTGAAGTATGAACTGCAAAAAAAACAAACACGAAATCTGATATTTACAAATCCGTTTTGAGCTACATTCAAATGTGATTTGAAATCACATTCATGTCTCATTTCTGGAAATCGGTTTCAGTCTGACCGCTCTGATCGTAGCTTTTTTTTTTCTTTCTCACACCACGTAAACACATAATATACTATAAATCAAAAATGCATATGCAATGCAACACTGCAAACCCTTCCATGCTGTTTTTGCTGTATGCGGACCAACGCAACATAACGCATAAACCAATGCAGATATTCCAGAAAATGAAAGCGCGACATGGGGCATTCAAATCATATCTGAACAGTTTCGATATACATTGTGGACAGTCAATTCAGTTTCGATCAGATTCCAATCATGTCTAAACCATCACGTCTGAACAAATCATTGTTCTAAATTTTTTGAATCAGATCTTTTCAATGAATCACTTTGAGCAAATTTCTACGGACGCTGCAACTATCGCAATATGACGTCACAGCCTGTGGCGTCTTCATAAGTACATATTCGTACATCAAATATGCAATCTTTACTCTAATGTACTACAACAGTGCAGTCCTGTATTCAAAGTTTGTGTTCTTTTGATTCAGCTAAGAGCGTATCAATCTTCTATTGGTCAAGACGAATTTGCATGTCAGAGTTCACTTGAGCCTTGTCCACTAATTTTCGTTTGAAAACGCATCTTTTCTCTCCGTTTTGGCCTTCCGTCCACACTGAGATGGCATTTTTGTCCTGCCGAAACAGCTTTTTGAAAACGCTTTCCCAAGAGGATACATTTGAAAACGCAATTTTCGCATTGTAGTGTTGAAACTAGAGGCATTTGAAAATGCTGACGCATGTCATGTGACGTAAACCGATAGATATGTATGTTTAAACTGCTATTGTGCCTGCAATGTGCCATTCACTTTCACACAGTTGCTAAAACATATTACTTTATACACACTTCACATAACAGTCCTGCAAAGATGACGGGAAATTTATTCGAAATTGCTGTCCTGCGGCAAAACATGAGCAGGTGCATTTCAGACCAAACAAAATGGTGAGTGAGTGCGACCTGAATGCATCAGTGAATGTGTTGGACACTTCATGCACTCAACTGTCACAGACTCCCATGTTGAATGGCAAAATAACCTTATAGAATTCGTACACTATACGGTTGAGTAGAGCAAATTTTGCCCGTTTCGTCTGTATCGTTTGAGTTTTTATGCGGTTTTACATAGGCCTATGCGTAGTAAGGTGAATTTAGCGTTTTCTGACGTTTCAGTGTGGATGAGAATCCTTTGGATAACGCTAGAGTGGACGTAGAGCTTTTTTCAAACGTATCCGTATAAATGTAGACGTAGCCTAAACTTGAACTTTGGAACGCAACGAAATGTGAAACTAGAGTTTCCAGACTCCAGCATTGGCATTCTTGAATAGAAATCAATTTAATGAAAAATGTAGTGAGACCGTCCCTTTAGCTGAAAAACGCAGTCCGACTGATTAATTTACTAATCGGAGTGATCTGGAGTCAATTATCTGGTCACAGCGGTTAAGACGACGACAGCCACACAGGTTTGGAATAACAAGGAGCAGAAAAAATGGTCAGTTGCATTTTTGGATGAACTATTCTATTCTCCAAAAACAACCTTATTTTATATGAATTCTATGTATTTATTGTCTACACACTGGATGGGAGGTTCAGTTCATCTGTAGCCTCTCACACTGCAGAAGAAGTGCCTTCAGACTCTGCTAGACTGAGACTCTGGCTGGAACGCTGATTCAATTAGCATCCCTCCAACCATCCAACATGTGTATAACCGAATTACGTTTATCTGTTGACGCTGCATTTGTCTAAAAGCAGAACAAAATATCTGTTCTCTCCCCGTACAGCAAAATGCTTAACGCTTCTGAATGTCTTTGGGTTCTTTCAAATGGTCTTGTATAGATAGGATGATAGAAGTGTGCACAGAAACAATAATGCATTCAGTGAGACAATCAATTTACTTTACAACTTGACCATAAAATATCTTTAAATGACTGTTGATCTTTTGTCTCATTGTGGTAGAAAAACCTGATTTCACCAGAATAATAACATATGTCATGATGTGGAGCTAAATGTTTTAGAAGCACATTATGAATGGTCATTTGTTTCCTCCCCCTTTTCCACATGTAATTATTTGCTAATACTTCAGAATTCATTCTTGGCAGCGTTTAGTAGCACTTGAATGTGAATCAAACCTGTTTTCTTACAGTATGCATTGTACATCAATTAAAAATGTCTTTAAAAAGGGAATGTCCTTCTCAAGGAGGTTTCTAAGGGATATTTGGTCAAACACTTTGTTGTTTAATACCATGATAATCAATTTCCCTTTGGGATTTCCCAGATATCATTTCTTGTAAGATGTCTTTCTGGTTGTGTTATAGCATTTACACCAGTTTTGGTTTGTGTGTATGCTTATTTGTAATTGTATGTTGTTTTTAATCCATGTTTTATTTTAAGGCATTAAGTAGATTTTGTCCTGTGTGGATGTTTCAATGTTTACTGAGTAAAATAAAATGGACTTTACAGAAAACCCTGAATACAGTATATGCGTCTGTGGCAGAAATAATTCACAAATATGTATAAGTGTGAATACTGTATATATATTTCTTAAATACAGTGAGAACAGTAATATTGTGAAGGTATATTCCTGATTATATTCTTATATTCCACATTATCCTTCAGAAATCATCTAATATTTAGATTTTTGTGTTCTAGAAACATTTCTTAAAAAAGTGCTTTTTTTGGTGAATAGAAAGTTCTAAATAACAGAGTTTATTTGAAATGAAATTACTTTAATAAATTAATTCATTTATTATATAAGTAAAAAAAAAAAAAAATAGAAATGTAGATGTGATCTTTCCCATCATACTTAAAGGAGTAGTTCACTTTTAAGAAAAAACTTTTGCTGATAATTTACTCACCTGCATGTCATCAAAGATGTCCATGTCATTCTTTCTTCAGTCGAAAAGAAATTAAGGTTTTTAATGAAAACATTCCAGGATTTCTTTCTCCATATAATGGACTTCAGTGGGAACCAAACGGTTCAAGGTCCAAAAGACACTTTCAGAGCAAACTGTTCAAAGGGCTTTAAACGATTCCAGACGACGAATAAGGGTCTTATCATTTTGATGAATGAATCTTTTTCCGAGTCGATTCGTTTGTTTCGTTCGTTGAATGAAGCAAATGACTCTGAAAAAGATTTGTTCATTTTGATGAACGAGTTCGAACAGGAGAGTCATAAACGTGCATCACAGAACAAAGCAAGGTGAGCATTTGAGCTTATAAAACTTCAACTTTGTTATTTATTTATTAAATGAGCAATCATTTCGCTTGATAAGACCCTTATTCGTCATCTGGAATAATTTAAAGCCCTTTGAACAGTTTGCAGTTTGCACTGAAAGTGTCATTTGGACCTTGAACCGTTTGGTTCCCATTGAAGTACATTTATATGGAGAAAAATCCTGGACTGTTTTCATCAAAAACCTTAATTTCTTTTCAACTGAAGAAATCTTGAATGACATGGGGATGAGTAAATTATCAGCAAATGTTTTTTGAAAAGTGAACTGCTCCTTTAATATTTAAATGAGCATATAAAAAAATAAGAAAAGTCTACATTAAATGTTAATATCTTTATATAAGCCTTAAAGAACACCATCATTCATGCATAACACAGTCTCATGAAGCCAAATCCCACGTCTTTTCAGAGTACCAAGCCTAATTTTTGATTCATAATCAAATACAGATCGATTTGTGAGATCAAGGACAGAATAGGAGCATCAAAATGTGATTCATTTTCTTCCTGTACTTGTTAAGTGCCCTGTGCTCAAACACCACATCTGAACTCTTGAATGATCCGAATCATTGAAAGTCATTATTCCTCACAATGCAAACCTGTAAGCTGAGCATTGTCAGTTCGACCTATGAGTAATGAAGCCTCCGTATCCTCGATTTCATTCGTGAGGCTGGTACGTCCATTTCTGCAGAGAGAAAGCATTCAGGCTCAAACTGAGACAGGAGACAAAGGATGTGAATCTGAGAAGATTCATCCACTCAAAATCTCTCCGAGATCCAATCATTTGATAATTAGAGTCACTCAAGCTAAAGCGTTGCTTCGGTGTCTGTTCAGAGTGACCGTGCTTGGCTTATATCTGGCTTTGATACAGTCCAGAAAGCTTGTTAAGCAGATTACCTGTCAAACGGACATTTTTCCACAATGTGCACATGAGCAGCAAACATCCAGCACCATTATGCAATGAAATGCCATGAAATGTGGGTTCTGGGCCAGGCTTGAATGGTTAATGCACTGATGAAGATGACGATGATGGTGGTAGTGGTTCATCAAATGACAAGTCATACGCACAGCTCCATTAATCTTCTGCATTATTAGGAATTTCCCCTCTGATCCATCCATTAGTATTCGGGTGCGAAAGCATTTCTTGGCACTGATGTTTGGTTTGTGTTTTTTTATGATTTCTGCTCTTCAGCCAAAGCTAGTTCTTTCACGTAGATGCCAATTTATCAGTTTGAACTCTATTGAGTGGGGCTGTCTCATCTCTTTTGTTTTTGTTTTTTATGAGCCCTCACTATCTGAAAGTTAACATATATTTCTTTATCTCTGGCCCCACTTTTGGTCCCTTTTTTCATCCTGTCATAGACACAGCCATGATCATATGGGTTACGCTGCCACAGAAAGAAAACATTCAGTTTGAGTTATGAATAAAAGAAGCATTAGTACTACAGCAAAACATCTGTGTTAAGAGTTTTTCATTAGTATAGGAGAATGCGGCAGCTAAGCAAAGATATGTTTATTGAAGGCTGCTGCAAGGACATGACACCACTTTTCAATACAAAATAATAAACTAGTTAATAGAGAACATAAAGTGCAGATTTTCTCAGAACTGTTTTGTCAAGTGAAAATGGATTCAGGAGAGATTGGATACTGATATAAGTATAATAATTGCTTTGCCTCGTGTTTTTACAGTGGACACACTGGAATTTTGTCATGATGTGTTGATCCCAACAATGAAAAATGTCCCATGAACAGCCATATGTTTATACTGTATACTGTATAATATACTGTAGCAGGGTGAATTTCATGAAATATGTCCCAGGGCCTCATTTATAAACGTTACGTACGCGCAAAAGAAGGTGCTCTCTATGGAATAATTGATATTAATAAAAAGAAAACTTGACGTGTTATGCAATTCATCCTCATAACACATCTGTAGCTTTTCAGATGCAATCAAATGGATGGTAATAAAATGCCATGATGCCATCACAATGCGCAATGACGCACTAGAAGTTACGTTTCTTGGTTTTCCTCTCTGTGTTTGCCATGATTTCGCAATCGATAAATATTAACTTGTGGGCGTTTCACGGACTATTTATGGGCACCATGGGCGTGACATAAAGCCGCAAAAGCTGTGATGAATTTAGAATTGATTGTGATTTATTAAGGGAAAACTGCGTAGGATGTGCGTGGTCACGGTTTTCTAAATCTGAATATTTCTGTGCGTACGCACGCCTATGTTTCATCCGTACGCCACTTCTGACGCAAATCCTACGCTAAGTTTTATAAATGAGGCCCCAGGTCATACTTAAATGTGTTTTTATAGTCAACTAAAAGACCATTAAAAATATTTTTTCATTCATTTAAATATATGAAAAAAAATGTGTTGTAGTTTGTTTATATATATACATACACATACACACATATATGTGTGTGTGTGTGTGTATATATATATAAACAAACAACTACAAATGCACACACACACACATATATATATATAAAATATGACAAATATTTTTTAATTTTTAATAGTCTTTAAGTATATATATATATATATATATATATATATATATGGGCTGTCAAACGATTAATAGCGATTAAACGCATCCAAAATAAAAGTTTATGTTTACATAACATATGTGGGAGCACAGTGTATAATTATTTTGTATATATAAATACAAACACATGCATGTATATTTAAGGAAAAAAATTATTTATATATAAAATATTTATACATAATATAAATTACATATAAATCTATATACAGTATATATGAAAATATTTCTTAAATATATACAAGAGTATGTGAAGAGTTCAGATGCAAAAGCCTCTAAGTGCCATTTGAAATTTTCTTCTAGAATGATCATTTTTATCAAGCTTGTATATTTAAGTTCAGTAATTTCAGTTAAATTGCAATGAGGATTACCTATTAATTGTCATTTAAATGAAATTACTGAACTTGAATATATAAGCTTGATAAAAATGGTCATTTTAGAAGAAAATTTCAAATGGCATTTAGAGGCTTTTGCATCTGAACTCTTCATGTGTGTATTTATATATATAAAATAATTATACACAGTGCACCCACATATATTATGTAAACACAAACACACAAACTTTTATTTTGGATGCGATTAATCATTTGACAGCCCTAATATATATATATATATATATATATATATATGTGTGTGTGTGCGATTCATTGTGATGAAAATAAATTTAAAAAATCATAATTTTTGAACTTTTGATTGGACATTTCTCCATGAGAATCAACAACACATGGTCAGCTGTGTGGAGCAAAACTAATGGACATATTTACCTGTCTTTTGGCAGGGTGCAGTTTGATTCTGTAGTCCTCTCTCTTCCTTTTCATCCTGTGAAAACCAGTTTAGAAATTGAGTGACGGTTTACTCTAGATGACAGACATTAAAGGCAACTTAATCATTTTTTTAAGGAGCAGCAAAGCAAACACTGCCGTATGGAGAAAATAAACTGCACACTCAGTATAAAACTTTGTGTGAGGCTGGCAGCAAGTGTGCTGGACATATGGTGAAGATGAGAAAGGGGACGGGATTTCACAGCCAATTATCTGAGAGACCTCTTCTCAAACCAGATGCTTAGATCTTCATACCTAATGAAAGCTACGGGAAATGCATTGTTCTTCAACCTTCACAACATGAACAGAACACAAGTCTGCGCTATTATACCAGCAATGAATCTGTTCATATTTACCATTTAGAAATGTAACCTCTAATTACTTCCATATAAAAAATAAGTAATTATGCATTTGGCTGTGTTTATCATCCATGTTTTTTCACGAAAAGTGAAAAAACATCTTTATGATTAATAAAGTAAGATGACATACCTGTTCAGCCACGTCACTAATAAAATCATCAGAAAAGCGACAGCAACCAGCCCTCCTCCAATATACACATACAGCATGTAATGAAGACCCTGCAAATCTGAAATGAGAGACAAATTTAAAGGGTCACTGAATCCTAAAACACCTTTTTTTTTAAATGTCAACTGATATGTACAGGTTGCACATCAATGAAAACCACAATAGCACTCATTATGGGAAAAGTGTTTTTTTGGATCAATTTCGTTCTGGTTTAAACCAGACAAGCAAATTCACGAAAAAAGAGATATCTGTTAATTCTAAGAGGTGATTGGCTACATCGTCAGTTTCAGAGCATTTCTCTGCATTTATTCATGAGAATTCACTTTTTAATTCAATCACTGCGCTGT